ATGGAGCAAGAACATTAAAATCTCAGACCCCATGGAAGAAGGATGCAGGCTTGGTCCTGTTGTTAGCCAAGGACAGGTAAAAGCCTAATGTTCATGTGTTCTCTCTTTCTATATTATGTCGTTTTGCAATCAGGCTACTACACCTAAATGCACTACTAGAACGAGGAAAAGATAATTGATGAGAGTCTTATAATAAGTTGGATTTTGTCAGAGATTGAGTTCTGTAGTACCGTGATTAGTTTTTTCCTTCTGTAACATCTGAATTGTTCAACTTCTAGAGCATCAGTCAGTTAACATCTTCCATATCATGTTTCATTAGGCTTGTCATGTTCTTACTTATTAAACGTACTTCAACTTCTGTGGTCATAATCTGAATGAGCTGACAAATGTAAATATTACAGTACGAGAAAATATTGAGGTTTATCTCAACGGCTAAAAGTGAAGGTGCAACGATCTTACATGGTGGTTCCCGACCTGAGGTATGATATTTCCCTCTCTTACTTATCCTTGATGCAGTTTCTTCCAGGCCATGATGATGACCTTTATATCATATCTATATCTCACAGCATCTGGCAAAGGGCTTCTTCATCGAACCAACCATCATAACTGATGTAACCACTTCCATGCAAATCTGGAGAGAAGAAGTTTTCGGGCCTGTTCTTTGCGTGAAAACATTTTCCAGTGAGGATGAGGCGATTGAGCTAGCAAATGACTCCCAGTAAGATAATGTTTCTCTGATCAGACCCGATCCGATCCATAGCATTGGTGTTTTTAATCTTCTTTACCAATTAAGATAGTCTGTAGCTGAAAATCATTGATAAATGACAGTTATGGATTAGGAGCTGCAGTGATATCTAATGATATGGAAAGATGTGACCGCGTAAGCCAGGTTAGTGCCTATTTCTTGAACCATTCTGATCCCTTTTACAATCCCATCTGATGACACAAATACTCGGTGCTACTTTGTTAGGCCTTTGAAGCTGGGATTGTCTGGATTAACTGCTCACAGCCTTGTTTTACTCAAGCTCCATGGGGTGGAGTCAAACGCAGTGGGTTTGGACGCGAATTAGGAGAATGGTACATCTCTTTCTTCCGTCACAAATCTTGTTATTAAATAAAGACTTAATCTTGATGGCCTTTACTGAACAAGTCTTGCTTTTGGTTGGTTTCTTGTGTGTGATTCAGGGGACTTGAGAACTACTTGAGTGTGAAGCAAGTGACTCTCTACACTTCAAACGAACCATGGGGATGGTACAAATCCCCGGCCTAAGTAATGAATACATATATTCTCATGAAAATGGAAAAATAAAATGCTGATGGTCTGTTCCATCTTTGTGCTTTTATCAATCTGGTCCTGAAACACTCACTATTTGTACGACGACGGTTCCTTTTTGAGTTTATTAAAGATAATGAATAAAGTCCCTTTTGGTGATTGATTGTTCTAAAAAAACTATAGCATTGAGGCACCATTTTAGGCCCTGGTACAGCAATATCAAGAACGTTGCACCATTTTATGTCACCTTCAAGTCACATCAAAGTTAAAACTCACATGGCAATTAATTCAAAATCATACTATTTGTTTAGAAAAAGCATTTTATGAGATCCGAATACTAGTGGTTTTTTTTTTAAATTTTAATACAATGAAATGGTTTTGGCATTTTTAAAGAGGTAAAAGAAGAGAAGAGTTGTGATGTGATGAGGATTTATCTTTCTTTCTCGCGCTTATCCTTAAAAAAGGAGTGTTGTGAATGGTGGTGAGTGTGACTTATAAGGACCCATCACCACAACAATACAGCTCCTTCAGATCTCGAATTTTCATTAAGATCTTCTTTCTCAAAATTTCATCTTTTCTTTCTGTCAATTTCTCCGACGAGACGAGATCTTCCCTCAAAACTTCATCTTTTTTGTCTGAAATTCTGATACTGCTGTGCCCATTTCTCTCAAATCAAGTGGTCGTGAAGCTTTTACGTTACAAGTGTTGTGAAAATTGGGAAATTTTGTCTGTTTGTGGGAATTGGAAGTTTTTCTGGGTCTGTTTAGAGATCTGTGATTTTGAAAAATGGGGAGCTCAATGGAGGAGAAAGTGGTGGCTGTGATCATGGTCGGTGGTCCAACCAAAGGTAACCGCTAAAACGAAATCGTTAAGATTTGGATTTGTGTGTGTTTGAGCACATCCATTGCGTTCTCTCTTGTTTAATTTCAGACAATTCTGGTTCTGATTCTGATTCGAATCTTGAATCCACACCACAGGTACTAGATTTCGACCATTGTCTCTGAATATTCCAAAGCCTCTGTTTCCTATTGCGGGACAACCAATGGTGCATCATCCAATTTCAGCTTGTAAAAGGGTAATTAATTCCCATTTCACCTCCAAGATCAATTAGAGAATGAATGTTAAGATGATGATGATGATACCAATCCTGTTTGTTTGCAGATTCCAAATTTAGCTCAAATATATCTTGTTGGCTTCTATGAGGAAAGGGAATTTGCAATTTATGTATCTGCCATCTCTAATGAACTCAAAGTTCCTGTCAGGTTAATATAAATCTCTCATCTTTTTGCATAATAGCTTCAATTCGAGTATCAGTGGCTCATTCATGCCCTTTTTTCGGTTTCTTGCGTATTAGATATCTGCGAGAAGACAAACCGCATGGCTCAGCTGGTGGTCTGTATCACTTTAGAAATCTAATTATGGAAGATAGCCCGGTTAGTCTCCAAGGACCTTATTTTTATTAAATTATTCAGTTGAGTTATGTGTATCTTCTCACATCTGAGTTCTTGTGTCTCTACCTCCTTGCAGTCTCATATCTTCCTGCTTAACTGTGATGTTTGCTGCAGTTTCCCACTGCCTGAAATGCTTGGTATATTCTTTTAAGTCCCAATCTTGTGCGCGGACTCATTTTTTGCTTTTCTTTGAAGGTCCTTGTTAGTATTGATACTTTTATTCCACAGAGGCTCACAGGGGATATGGTGGGATTGGAACTCTTCTTGTGATCAAGGTTTGTGATGGAACATCTGATTGATCTTACTTTTATTTCTCGTGGATTTATCAAAGTTGCTTCCTTGTTTTGGTTTTTAGGTTTCTCCTGAATCAGCCAGCCAATTTGGAGAATTGGTTGCAGATCCAGTTACTAATGAGCTGCTTCATTACACCGAGAAACCCGAGACTTTTGTATGTACCATATATCACTGAGATGACTCAAATCTTTAGCATCTTCGAGATTTGATTCTAATGTTTTAGTCTTGGAAACACAGGTCAGTGACCGTATTAACTGCGGTGTTTATATATTTACACCTGAAATTTTTACTGCCATAAGAGATGTTTCCTCTCAGAGGAAAGATACAGGTAAAAGCAGTAACAAAGATCGTACAACATAGTTTATGTTTTCTTGTATTAGCTTCCATCTTCAAAGACTCTTCTCATACGTTTCCTCTGTGTTTGTTCCCTTTTGCTTATCGTAGCAACTCTGAGACGTGTTTCCAGCTTCGAAGCTCTTCAACCAGCAACAAGGTTTGTCGATTTTCTTGTGGTACATAACTGAAATAGCCTTTGAACCATCTTCTTGAAATGATATGTTTTAACTTTTTTTTAAATAGGATCCCCGCGGATTTTGTAAGACTGGATCAAGACATCCTCACACCTCTAGCTGGGAAGAAGCAGCTATATACTTATGAGACTATGGATTTCTGGGAGCAAATTAAATCTCCAGGGTATATGCCTTGCCTTGTGTTTCCATCCATTTCTATTAAGCTTGCAAGAAGGAGATGAAATGTTTAGCAGCAGCTGAAACAGGGAAACAGGTGTTTCTGGCTCTGAGTTATGGGTTGATTTTTGTGCAGAATGTCGGTGAGGTGCTCGGGACTCTATCTTTCCCAATTCCGGTTGACCTCTCCTCAAGTGTTGGCTAGCGGGGATGGAACAAGGAATGCCATAGTGATTGGTGATGTTTACATACATCCTTCAGCAAAAGTACATCCAACTGCAAAGGTACCTTGGGCTTTGTCCCTTGTTGAAGCAACTTTTTTCTGATTCCACTTTTATCACAAAGCATTCTGTTTCGTCTATTGATAGATTGGTCCCAACGTCTCCATCTCTGCAAATGCTCGTGTTGGACCGGGTGTCAGGCTTATCAGCTGTATCATCCTTGACGATGTTGAGATCATGGTATGTCTTCTTTTATACGAGAGTAAGAAAAACGGATAAAGATCCTCGAGAGTGACTCTTCAGTGATTGTCGTCGCAGGAAAATGCAATGGTGACAAACGCAATCATTGGTTGGAAATCTTCAATCGGGAGATGGTCCCGTGTCCAGGCATGCTTCTTCTTCTGCTCACCTTGAAATGTTTCTTTGTTTGTTGTCCTTTACAATCATGAACTTGAAGTTTTACTTTGTCGATCACAGGCTGAGGGAGTCTACAACTCCAAACTCGGAGTTACGATTCTCGGTAAACTGTTTTCATCCTCTTTTCCTTCAGTGTCTCTCCTTCTCTTTACAGAGAGACAGCAAAATCTCTTTATATACAAAAAACTCACCTGAAAACATAATGGTTTCAGGAGACTCGGTTGCAGTTGAAGACGAGGTTGTGGTGACCAGCAGTATTGTTCTTCCAAACAAGACACTCAATATCAGTGTCCAAGAAGAGATCATTTTGTAATTGCAAAAAAGGAACCAACCCAGTGGAGCTATACCATCTCCCTCTGATTAAATGTTTACTGGAGAATCACAGAAGCAAATATTTTTGGGAACCAATTCACATGAATCATTTATTTACTCCGAGAAATTTCCAACTTTGTATCAAATTCCATTATCTATACTCAGTCACAGCTACTGTAAAAGTATACTGAATTTTGGCCCATCATAATAAAGCACTTGTGTAGTTTGACAGTTTTAATACACTGTTCTTGCTTATATCCACTGAAAGTGTATCAATGTTTTTCCTGTCCAGTCTGCATCGGCTTCAATGCAACGTTTTTTACCTTTTCACATGAAGATAAGAGATTCATAGCCTGAACTTCCGGGTAAGCCGGCTACCAGATTTACTCTGCAACCTCAAGATCTCCTTTGCGAAAGCTTGATTTCCTGTCAGGAGAAGCCCATTCAGAACTCGATTAAAAGTGAATTTCCGTGGTATAAACCCTCTCTCGACCATCTCAAGCACTAGTTTACCAGCCATCACCATATCTTCTGATCTTTTTCTCACAAACATTCCACTTATCAGTATGTTATATGTATCCAGGTTTGGCAAGCAATCCCCACTCCCCATCTTCTCAAACAAACCCAACGCTTTCTCAATCTCGCAGCATTCTGAATAATAGCGTATCATCATATTGTATGTCTGGAAGTTTGGTTCGCAGCCGTCATTCACCATTCTCTGCATCAACTCCTCTCCGCGACTGAACTGTCCAGCGTGAAATAACCCTCTTATCAACACATTATAAGTCGTCACATTCGGTTCATAACCTTTCCTCAACATTTCCTCAAACATCACAAGAGCATTCTCTACGCTATCTTTCTTACACAAAACCTGAATCAAAGCATTATGTGTCGCAACAGAAGGAAGCACTCCTTCTCTAATCATCTCATCGAATACATTCCTCGCCCGATTTATCTCCCCCGCGACACCAAAGCCGTGAACCACGGTTGTGTAAGTAACAACATCGATTTCACACTTCCGTTTCTTCATCTCCAAGAAGAATTCCCAAGCCTGCCTAATCTGCCCTGCTCTGAAAAACCCTTTGAGCATTGTGTTATAAGTGGTCAAATTAGGGTTTATCCCTCTCTCCACCATCTCTTTCAAAACCTCCAAAGCCTTAGGGGTACGTTTAATCAAACACCAACCATTAACAATCACATTGTATGTAACAGTATCAGCACTAAATCTCCCCCTAAGAGCCCTAAACAACTCATAAGCTTTCTCTACGCGTTTGGATTTACACAGGACATCGAGAATCGTATTGAAAGAAGCTAAATCCTGAAAACAGCCATGTTCGTGCATATTCAGAAAGAGCTTTACGGCTTTATCGGGTTTCCCAGAGGAAGTGTACCTCTCGGCGACGATTGCAAAGGTTTTCGGAGAAGGACCGAGGCGGAGAGAGCGCATACGGTGGGTTAAGGACCAGACGGTGGTGTGAAGGTGAAGACGAGCGGCGATGTCGATCGCGAGGTCGAAGGAGGAAGAGGCGTGGATATATTCGCGGTGGTGATGGTCGAGGAAGTGGAAGAATTGGAGGGCTTTAGGGCCGTGGTTCCAGAGGCGTTTGAGGACAGAGTTAACGAGCTCTGGTGTCCATGGGGTTTTGGTGGAGAGTAGAAATTGATCGTCTAGGGTTTTGGTGGGAGAAGAGAGGATAAGCTTGGCAATGGCGGCGGAATCAGCCGGTGGTGGTGGTTTCAGATTTGGTCCGGCGACTGAGGTACAAAGCGATTTGCTAAAAAGACGATTCATCGGAAGCCCGGTTTTTTAGTCATTTTACGTTTTTCAAGTGACTTATAGTAGTAGATTCCTAAATTACTGAAATAGCTATATAGTTTTGAAAAATTACCAATATCGCTCTGAATTTTTGATTTGTACAGAGAGATACACCATGATGCATGTATGCGTATTTCGAATCGGGTCATCCAATTCTATTTGCACCAATCCGTATTATCAAAAGAAATTTGGTTAGAATTTTCCTATTTGGATCATGATGATTATTGATATATACTTCTAGCAAGTAAACATGGAAATTGGAATGCTACTTATTCTGATAACAAAAATGATCTGATTTTTTTTTTTTGAAAAATACTCGGACATGTGAATCCAAATCATCTAATGATTTCAAATCTCCGAATTACATTTATCATATTTGATATTCGAATTATCCGACAAGGATCCTCATTTTAATATACAAATCATATGTAGTAACAATTTTACATGTTCAATTTGAATGGATTCAAAACAACGTTACTGTATCGATCTTAAATTCTTCTATCCGAATGATCTCGAATCGATCGGCTTTTTATCCATAACCGATAGAAACTGAATCGAATCCAAATGCTTATGCGGATAATTTGGTTACTAACCAAGAAAAAAAAATAAAACCTAATATCTAACCATAATCCCTAAATCTAGTGGCTATAATTTTGCCAGATATGAATGTTTTGGTTAGTTATTAGATTATGTTTTTTTTTTGCTATATTTGCCAATTTCTCATGCTTACTCAAATCTTTAGTTAGATTTTGTCCCCAAGAGTTTACTTTAATTTATTTTTCAATAAACATAAGTTTTTGATTTGAAAAATTTATATGAAAATTAAAGGGAAGTCAAAGTAATTAATAAACAGCACTTATTATTACTGATTACCAAAAGCAAAAAAAAAAAAAAATTGGAATTTTATTACAGAAATTGAAGGAGAGTTGTCATTGTCAGATTGAAAGAAAGAGCAGACAAAAAGATTGTAAAATGAGAAAATAAAATAAAAATTTGGGACCCTCAAAAGATTTTGACCGTGAAGACACAATATTACGTTATCTGACAAGACATAACACATCACTCATCTAATTCTAGATTCTCTCAAAGATCTTAACAACAAGATCCGATCTTCCAGAT